AAAGAGGGTCGAGAAATGTGGTTTTGATACTGAAATTTTTTTGACGCCTTGAAATATGTTTCATCCTTAAATATAAAATTTAAAGCACCAAAAATAGTGTAGATCAAGAGGATCTATGAAAATTTGAAAATCTCAAAAATTGACTATTTTCAAAAATTAACTTTCCAAAAATATATTACAAGATGCACTATTTCCAAACCTTAAAATCCATTGTTTTCTCATGTCCATGCATCTTGATGTCGAGATGATCAATTTGAAAATACTTGAGCATCAAATCAACCTCTTCTAGTGAAAATTTTGAAGTGGGCTCTAATCTTTCCTTTTTATAATATACAATGCCTCAAATTCTCAAAAACGCCTCTCAAATTTTAGGGAAAAAAGGGACAAATCTCCAAAATCTAGGGAATAGTTATGCTTCCTTTCCCAAAGTGCATATCAAAACAAGATACGGAAACTGAACAATCACTGAAAAGGGAGCTGAATAACACGCGTATCAAAACAGATAGTTCAGTGTATTAACTCAAAATTGCCTTACTATTTTTCATGATATGCTTACCACCCTTCATCCCAAGGAAAAGAAAAAAAAGACCAAAATAACCTTTTCTAAGCCCAAGCCCGGTTTTTAAAGATAGTCAACTTGAAGACCATAAACCAGTGTTTAAAGCAGGGTAAGCAGGGTTTGAAAACTCGTTGAATCGAACCGGACTTGCCCCGGTTCGACTCGAGAATCGGCAGACCCCGTGCCAGTTCCACTACAATACCGAGAATCGCCATGTTTAGAGAGAACCAGGCGATTTCCAAACCATTCCATATTGGGAATCGCAGGGTTTGAAAACTCGGTGAGTCGAACCGGAATCGTCTCGGTTCGACTCGGGAATCGGCAGACCCCATGGGTACCCATTGTAAAAAACACGTGCTCCATCACAAACCCACACTGCTACGTGTGTTTCGTCAACGACTAGCTTTAGTAGTAGAAGACTATTTATTCTTACCAAATTTGTTCTGTGGGTTCGATGTAGGACAATTGTGCCAAGGTAATAGCTCAGAAAGAAATATGATATAAGTATTGAGTGACCTTTTTATATCATAAGTTAACATTTAATGTGGTGGTTAGATCGTTGCTTTAGTGTGTTGGACATTGCGGGAACAATTCCTGCCTAAGTGCCATTATTCATTTACAAACAAATTAATTTTTTCCTTTTTACAAAATAATTTTCTTTTACAAAAAAAATAAAAGTTTTTTATAAAAAAATATATTTTTTGTTAAAAAAAAATATAAGGTTTTTGTCAAAAAAAAAAAGAGTAATACAACAAAAAAAAATTTCTTGTCAAAAAATAAAAGCTTACTGTAAAACAAATATAAGGTTCTTGTAAAAAAAAAGGTAATACAACAAAATTTCTTTTTCTTGCCAAAAAATAAAAATTTATTGTAAAAAAATATAAGGTTCTTGTAAAAAAAAAAAAAGGTTATACAACAAGTATTCCTTGTAAAAAAAAGAAAAGAAAAAAGGTTGTTGTTAAAAAATAATAATAATAATAATATGACAAGCATTTCTTGTAAAAAAAATAAATAAAAAGTTATTGTCATAAGAAATAAAAGGTTTTTGTCAAAAAAAAAAGATCAAAGGTAATACAACAAATATTTATTGTAAAAAAATAAGATGTTGGATATGCTATTATTTGTATACTAAAATTATTATAAAATGTAAACCAACAAGTTCAATTTCAATATATAATGTTCTCCACCAATTCAAGATTTTGGTGGCCATTTTTTATCGATTAAAACCATACTTTATGATACTCCATCTATAATTATATACTTCATCTATGATAATTCTATGATTTTTCTTTTGTGTGATGTAAATTTAATAATAAAAATAAATTCATACAAAGAAAAAACATCTCAATATTCATATATTGATAAAAAAAATAAAAAATAATAATGTAGTACCTCGATTTCTTATTGGATTCCTAAAGAACAACATTTATAATGAATTTTAATAATTTTTTTAGATTTTTTTTAAGCTTAATCCAACCGATTCGGTTGATTTCCGATCCGGATCGCCGATTCACTGATCCGGATGGGTTTTGGGGTGCCCGATCCGGGCCACTGATCCATTTTTTAAACCACTGGTTTAAAGCAGGGTTTTAAAAAATGCCGAGTCAAACCGGACTCGCCTAGCTCGACTCGAGAATCGGCATGCCGGTTCCGGCATAATACATGGAATCGCCCGGTTCCAAAGAGAACCGGGATTTTCTGTACAGTGACTCACCGATTCACTATGCGGAATCGATGAGTCCCGTGAAGAACACGGGCTGCACAGTGTTCTTCACGGGTTTCTTCAAATTTTGTCATTTTTTTATCATTTTTCTTCTTTTTTTTGCCATGTGATCCAATATTCAGGCTTTATGTAGCTGTTTTCAGCCTTTTCATGGATTAAATGGTGGAGAAATTTCATGTTTTTGGATCATGAAAGTTGCGGGTTTTAGGGTTTCTGCTTTTCCTTTTGTTTCATGTCAAATAGGGCATGAATCTGTGAAAATTTTGAGGCATATTGATCGTAAATGTGTTCATCAAAAAATTCTGTTATGAATTTGTGATAATCTTTGAAAAAAATAGAGTAATTTGGATATTGAAGCCACGGGTTCACGAAACCAGGTAAGAACTCTGCGTTTTTTTTTTTTTCCCGCCATTTGATCAATTTCTATCTATATTTTGAAAATAATCAGTTAAATTTGTAAGGTTTTAAATCTTTATCGTGTCTTTTATCATTTACTATATTCAATTTTATTTAATTTACTCAATTACAGCCTGGTTTTTTAGAAGAACACAGTGATGTTTGTGAAAAAAAATTTATGCTGTTTTTTTTTTTTTTTTCCGCCTTTCGATCTATTGTCCACGATATATTACAAATAATGTGTTAGATTTCTAGGGTTTTTAATCGTTATAGTCTTGTTTATAATCAGATGTATTCAATTTAATCTGATTTATTCAATTTGAGCTTCATTTTTTAGATTCAATGACTGTTGTCTGTGAAGAACTGCGTTTTTCTTTTTTTTTGTTCAATTTAATTGATTTGATTTGATTTATTGATGATAATGTGTTCATAATTTAGGGTTTTGATTTTTTATATTGTTATTTATCAAAAAATATACTCAATTGGATGTAATTTATTCGTTTGAAGGTGGACTTTGAGTTGAAATGGCTGATGTAAGGTGGCTCTGTGAAGAATAGACTCTTTTTTTTTTTTGGTAATCCATGATCAATTTTTTTAAAAATTTGTGATTTTTCGAAAAGATGTGAAAATCGTGACAAGGTTTTGATTATCATGAGGTATTAAACCATATTTTTAATTTTTATTGTTTGAGTTTGTTGTTTTTTTAATTTTTTATCCTTGATCGAAGTTTTAGAAAAATGACGGTTTTCCTAAAAGATGTGAAAATCGTGACCAGGTTTTGATTATCATGAAGTATTAAACCATATTTTTAATTTTTATTGTTAAAGTTTTTGTTGAAAAAATTGTATGTTGATAGATTATTTATGCAAATAAATGCATGTTATTATATTTTTAATGCAAAACTGTATTTTTTGAATTTGTTGGTAATGCATTTTTGAGTTGGAATGACTGATGTTAGGTGGCTCTGTGAAGAATTGTTTTTTTTTGTTTTTTTTTTTAATACATGATTGATTTTTTTTGAAAAATCGTGATTTTTCGAAAAAATGTGTAAATAGTGACCAGGTTTTTATTATCATGAGGTATTAAACCATATTTTTAATTTTTTTGTTAAAGTTTTTGTAGAAAAAATTGTATGTTGATAGATTATTTATGCAAAAAAATGCATGTTATTATATTTTTAATGCAAAACTGTATTTTTTTTAATTTGTTGTTAATGCATTTTTTAGTTTGAATGACTGATGTTAGGTGGCTCTGTGAAGAATTGTTCTTTTTTGGTTTTTTTTTAGTACATGATCGATTTTTTTTGAAAAATTGTGATTTTCTGAAAAGATGTAAAAATAGTGACTAGGTTTTGATTATCACGAGGTATTAAACCATATTTTTAATTTTTATTGTTAAAGTTTTTGTTGAAAAAATTGCATGTTGATAGAATATTTATGCAAAAACATACATGTGATTATATTTCTAATGCAAAACTATATTCTATTTTTAATGTAGTTTTGCATTAAAAATGTATTTTCAATTTTTAAAATTTTGAACGCAAAAAATATATGTTGTTAAATTGTATTATCGTGAGGAATTAAAGTAAATATCATTGTAAAAAAATCGTGGCACTAGCGTGACCACGAAGAAGAAGAACGACGTAGTCTGTCATTTTTTTTTTAGATCGTATGTTACTAATTGTATGCTTTATTGTAGTCCATGTATGTTGATATACTTATTCCATGATAATTCTATGTTTATCCTTTTGTGTGATGTAAATTAAAAGGTAAATAGTAGTTCATACAGGAAAAGAACATATCAATATTCGCATATTCATGTAAAAAAATGAAAATTCTTAATGGAGTACCCTCATTTCTTATTGAATTCCTACAAAACAATATTTATAATGAATTTTAATAATTTTTTCGATTTTTTTGAAGCTTTAATCTGACCAATTCAGCCTATTCTCGATCCGAATCGCCGATTCGCCAATCCGGATTGATTTTTGAAGTGTCCGATCGGGGTCACCGATCCGCTTTTTAAACCATTGGTTTAAAGGATTGGGCCTTGAATCAACACACCTCCGATTCCGATTCCGATTCCGATTCCCATTCTCCCTGTTTGAACTAGCCAATTCTAGAGTCTAATCAGGCTACACTTCATAAAGAAATTTAAAAAAGAATACAAATTTTAAAAAGTAGGGATTTCCCATCCAGAATTACCTCTCTCCCAATTCTGATCGGAGGGGTCGACAAATTTCCAAACACTGCAATAAACTTTATGTGGAAAGAGAGAGAGAAGGCTACCATACAGATTGAACCACCCACAAATTATAATTGCCATAGTGCAATAGGAGATTATATTATATTCATCAACCCCCCAAGCAAAAGTTACATATAGATGAAAAAAAAAAAACAGAGAAAAATGAAAAGCACTTATTTAATTTGGGCTTAAAAGACACGATGCATGGAGACATCGATGCTTACCCATGCCTGACACTTGCGAACATAATGTAAAATCAGGAAAGAAGTGATGCCTCCTCAAAAGCCAAAAACCAGATGAGACATGACCCCTTCCTTCCATTCCAAATCGATTGTCAACTTCCCATCACCAGACCACTCAAACCCCAGTCCCCTACCATTCAATATACACACCTTAGGCTTCTCACTAGAATATGCCAAAAATTTGCCACCTCCTTTAACCTTAATCTCAACTCTGGCATCATCTCCATAGCACAGTTCTCCAATGGTTCCCCCACTGTTGAACATGTTTGTGAGGCCAATGGGAGCAAATTTGAGAGAGCTTTTGAGGGTTTTGAGGGGAACAAAGGTGAAGATTTCAAAGGTAGATGGCTGAATTGTGGCTTTGATTTGCTCAGTTTTGGAGTTCAGGATGACAAACTTTTCGGCTTGGTTGAGATAGACTATGAATTCTTCGGACTCACCCATCTCGGACAATTCCTCTTTCTGGTCCCATTCTATGTCTTGGACACAAACTGAACTGGACATTGGCTTGTAACATTGAGAGTAGCCTTTGATCCTCTGTTCCTTGGGATCCCACCCTGCTCCTTGGCAGTTAAACGCACCGACAACACCGCTAAACTGTAAAGTGGGAGAGAAAAAGAGAGGAATCGTAAGAAGGATGAGTTTGTGAGGGTTAAGCTCAAAAGAATGCAGGATTTTTTCTTAATTTTCTTTTGTGTGTGTGTGTTTCTTCCTTTCATGGGATCAATGTTCAAAATGCCTGGAAGAAGTCGTCCTTGTCCTGTTCACATCAAAGAACCCAGACCACACTAACTAAAACTTTTCCACAATCAAATAACTGTCTCACTGTTTGAATAAAGTGGCTCCTAACCAGGTTACCCACCTCACTTTTCTTCTTTTTAAATAAAATCGTTCTATTCAAGCTAATATATTTCAGAAAAGTGGGTTCTTATAATATTACCTTGTTCAAGTTCCAAATCTTGAGGATGGTTTCGCCATCGAAAAGTGGGTTCTTGAAGAGACAATCTCTTGTGGGGAGAGCAAAGTGCTGGCACCGTGGTATGGTTCCATCAGGGAAAACCAGCTGCTTCATGAGATCAAAGCCATGCCCCCCAACTGAGTCACTCACATAAACAGGACCACCACATATGGCCCTTGAACCAGCATGAAACTTGGCGCAAAGATGATCAGATTGAAACATATCCCAGTCTGGTTGTATGATCTGACCCATCCACATGCTATTGTATGCACAGTGAATCATATGAACACCTTGCAACCAATACACACCCATTGGATCTCCATTTGGGTCTTGGAACCAGAAATCATCCCCTGATTCCATTAAACATATCACCATGTTAAAAAAATATGGAAAACAAAATCATATTGTATTCACCAATCATCTTCCTCTCTCTCCCACTCCAAATTTACAAGATGACAAGTTGATGAATAAATTGGATTATTTCATGGAAACTATTTTTTGAATACTTAATTGGAGTTCTTTAGATTAATCAGAAGAAAACATAAGAAAAACAGTAGAAGTCATCACTTGACTGAGAATAATGATGTATCTCAAGATTTACTCACCCACTCTTCCTATAGAGATTTGCTTGGTTCCGAGGAAGAAGAAATCATTGCACTGTTGCATACTTGAGATCAGGCCACTCCCTTTGAAATTCTTCACAAGTGACTTCGTCAATCCTTCATAGTAAGCCTTTGCAAGTTGCACCCGGCCTCCATAATCCTCCGATACATACTCAAGTGTCTGTTAACTCCAAAACCATACACACTTATGACTTTATACATTTTGACATAAAATATATAAATTACAGAATAAGAAGAAAGGAACTAAATGAAAATAAAAGAATTAGTAGAAGACTTAATAGCTGATATTTTGCACCAAAACGAATATATCACAGATGCAACAGAAAGGAATCGAACAGTGCTAAATTACTGAATAAGAAAAGCTTACATGAATGACATCCACTTTCACCCCCGTGATTCCAACTTTAGAGAGATATGAATGCATCGAATCATAATAATCATCCGCCTGCTTGGGGTTAACCAACCCGATTCCTCCCTCTACTATCTTCACCACTGCTAGATCAGTCATTGTTCCATCAAGGCCAGGAGAAAGTTTGGTAGGGATCACCTTTGAATCAAGATGGGTGGCCCCCGGCCTAACACCTCCCCAAGCTCCAGCAAGAGCTTGCCACACATAAACATCATCCAAACCTTTGAATTTTGTTCTCAAATCATCAGTAAAAGCCTTCATGCCTGTTTTCTCCAACTTGCAACAGTTTCCACAGCTCTTGTTCCCTGTGGAAACCGTCCCCTCCTCATCTCCATCATACATTTCGTCTAATTCTCTCTTCAAAGCCTTGATTTTAGTTTCAAAGCTAGAAAGATCAGTGACACCCTCTTCAGCTGCTTTGTCCCTGTGTTTCTCTGCATGCTCGACCTCTATAGCCTTAGCTATGAGCATTTTTGGCTTCTTGGGATCAAAGGAAGGGGCATTAGGGCCTAGCATGGTCCCTGACTTATAACTTTTAAACTTGTCACATTCCTCAAATCGATAGAGCCTAGCAGTCATTTGGGTTCCCCCCAAAACAAGGTTTTTGGCATCTTGAAGTGGAGGCTCACCATCTAAACTTACGCTTTGCCACCCATCATCGATAATCAGAAACCTGGGTGATAACCCTGCATCTGAAAATTCCTTTAGCCCATGCCAAATTCCTATGGGGTTCACGGTAAGGTAGAAAGCATCCCAAGTACACCACCCAAACTTATCAACGAGGGAGGGGACTGTTTTCTCCTCTATGAGCTTAAATGTGTTCAAATGGACTCTAGCTGCACTATAGCCTTCTTTCATTAGGTTGTAAGGGTTGTCACTGATATGAATATAGGCACAAGAAGAGAAAGATGAAGTCTTTACTTGGGTAGAACCACTTTCAGGGCAGATCATGACATGGCCATTGGGTCCTGGATGAAGGGCTGACCTAAAGTGGCCTTCAATTAATGGGAGGATTAGGACATATGACCGTATTTCAGGGACTTCTAAGACTACCCATTGAGTTTCTATCTGTATATCTGATCCATTTTTCCCAACCCACATGGTAGACCACCACGTCTTGAACCTGAAAATGCTTAAAAAGTTTCTATTTGTGAATTTACCAAGGGAATTCATGTGCCTATCTGATTCTTCAGCTTTGGTAAATCCTAGAAAACCACCCTTGTGAACCCTTGACTGAACTTGGTAGAAGAGAGAGAAAGGGGCATCTGAAGATTTGCAGATGGAAGAGAAATTAGTGAAGGAAACATTACTTGGGACCTCAGAGAGAAGTGTGACTCCATTGACACTTAGTTTTCCATTTGACAGTGAAAAACATGAGGGAGGACCAATTATGGGGGCAAAGTTGCTAGCTGAATTGGAAATTTCATTTGGGGGTGCCATGACCGCGAAAAACACGGCAGTGAGAGAATGGGATCAAAGATCAGAATCAAAATTACAAAACCCAAAATTTAGAGGACTCGTAAAAACTTGAATTATTTTACAACAGATTGAAACAAATAGAGGCACTCAAGACTAGTACAAAAGTAGATGGAAATCTATGTTTTTTCTTTTGGGGTTGAAGAGAAATGAAGAACGAGTGTTTCTAGGCCAAACTCAAAAGCTGAAACCCTAGTTCAACTCGACAATGGAGCTAAATTTGGAAAGGACAAGCACCAAAAACAGCATAAAATATTTAAACAGATTCAGCCCCAGCATAAAGGAAACAGAACCAAGTTTTGAAACTCACAAACCAAATATTAAAAACAGAATGGTTTTAACAAGTTGGGTTGACTGAGGAAAAGAGACAATGAAGGGGGGGTCAGGGAAATGGTTTGAAAGCTTAAGTTTGTTGAAAACCAGAGAGGAACTTGATGAATTTATAGGTAACTAGAGAGAGGTGATTGACAATGGAGTGAGTGAATGACCAATGGAGATTCTAGATAAGGAGAGGCAATTGCTTTGAGGGAATTTGATACCATTTCAAAGTGATCACAGAACCCAAATATAAAGACAACCAACCAGTTGTATGCATGGACAGTGACTCTGTATAAATCTTCAGATTCTTGTGCAGTCTTTCTCATTTCCAAGACAACCGAAACTCAAAAATATATGGGTTTTTCTAGTCATATAATTTATGACCATTATTAAAACTAATCTCAATAGTTTTATTGGTGTCATCATTATCATTGAAAATTTGATCAAATCGTGCAGAAGCCACCAGAAACAAAAGAAATCTGGTGGAAACAAGTTGCATTATTATTTGTTATCATTATTATCAAAGAAGATTAAGAACAAAGAATGAAGAATCCACCAGATAAATGAAATGTGGTGAAGAATGTTATGAATCTTGTTTTTATTTTCAGTTCTTTTTCTTAAATTACATTAACATCAATAACTTATTATCTGCACTCTATTACTGTTTTATCCATAAACTTCTAATGATTTAAGGTAATAAATGGTGGGCATGAGAAGAAGTTTTTTTTTTAAAAAAAAAAAAAAAATTCAAATGCAAATTTTTATTTGTGATATTATTTAATTAATTAAATTTGGGCGGTTGGGTTTGGTAGTTTGTGAGGCTTTCTTCGAAGCTGGGTGGCGTAATGAGCAGGTGGCAGTGCTCAGGCAGGCCCAATAGAAACTACCCAAGTGTACATAGAAATTTTCAAAACTGACCCACCTCAACAAATTACGAAACTGCCCCTTATCCAAAAATTATAATGCCCTAACTAACTTGACCGGTTTGTTCGGTTACTTTTCCAAAGGCGTGTGGCCCAACCGCCTTGACCAGCGGGTTTTCTCTTTTTACTTTTGGCACCGACCGTGCTTAGTGGCTAGCCAATCAGCGGGTGCCACGAGGGCCAGCGGTTATTCTTAAATTGTGTTAATTAGTGTATATCATCCACTTGTTTTGCTTACTGGTTAAGGCAGAGGGCATTTTAGTCCAACAGTCCAAGATTGCATGCTTGACGAGGGACGTGTTTTATTTCACCGGCGAGACTACCATATTCAATGTGGCCAAAGAATTTATACTCCCGCAGGAGTATAATGTCCGTTTACTCCCTCGGGTAAAACCTTAGAATTAATCCCAAATTTTGGTCATATAACCTTTTCATAACCTCAAGAAAAGAATTTCCTAATTCTATCTTCTATGCACCTCAAAAAACCTAATATTTTGAGGTTGAATAGAAACCATCTGATTTTTGGATGGTGAGATATAAGTACTAAAAAAAACTCAAATTTTAATTTTTTTTTCTTTTGAAAATAATCATCTAGCCGATTCTTAATAATCCCAAACTTTTCGGATTGAAAAACTCCTCCCATGTAATCAAAGAAATAGAAGTAAAGTATAGTCATGAGAGCTGCCCTCTCCTCTCATGTTCATAAAGTTATGGGTCGACCAAACAAAAGCCAATAAAAAACGGGTCGTTACAAAAAATAAAGGCAGATATTGTTAATTGCTAACCGACGATCTGTTACGACGTATAAAAGTAAAGGGGGGTAAGGTGGTTAAAGAATTAAGAAGGTCCCTCTTTTGCATAAAGTAGGCCTTGAAAGTAGGGCCAGAAATGGGACTGGCTGCCCGTCCAGGCCCGGCCCAAAAAGTGGGGCCTAAGCCACAAACTATGGCTTGAGCGCCTAGCTAGGGCAAGTGCAATCCCAGTTCGCCCAGCTCAACTCAGCGCTCTTTTTTTTTCTTGTGTATTTTCTTAATTTGGTTTTTGGTCTTGCTCAGCCCTAACCCTATAGGGCTTGGCCTCGCCCGGCCCAGCCCCAGCCCCTTGCCACCTTACTTGAAAGCAATAAGTAAAGGAATATATATGAATTGTATACAATGAGACCATTTATCTTTATTACAAGCGCAATCACTCCCGGTCATTAGATGTCAAATTGGATGCTTGGGTTAATCATGAAGTCCGAAACACTTTTTTTTAATGTTGAGGCTTTAATGATATTCTTGTAACTACCCAATTTGAAATAAATGATAAGAGTGATCGTAACGTCCTTGTACAAGAAGTAAATGGTCTCGTTGTATACTTTTTCAAATGCAAACACTTGGGAGCTTGTGGATTTCCAAAACTTTTCTACGATTTTATCTCTTTTTCTAGTGATTTCCCTATTTTCTGTTTTTCCATTTTAACTCCATATTTCTTTACTTCTGTAAAATACTGATTTTCCGAATGCAACGATTGTTCATTATAAAACAGGAACAGAACAGACCACTCCCAATCCTTGATTTTGTACCAAGTATTATTATACCCTCCATGGAGCTCTTTATTTCATCCAAAAAGGGAAGTTTTTAGGCTCTTCACTGAATTCCGGGAAATCTTCCTCTGTATTTAGAAAAGGGAAAATTACACATAATATATTATAAATTTGAGATAACTAGCACAATTTTGAGAGTTCTTTGTTATGAGTTGTTGTCTGAGAGGTTCTACAGTAACATGATTGGTTCATAACCCACAAGCTCCCAAGTGTTTGCATTTGTTGAAGGTTGGAGATCTATGTTGAGCATGGAGTTGGGCAATCATGTGTTAGATTTCTAATAGTTGGTGCGCGATTTTGATTTGCATGGAGTCGAAGGCGGCACCGAGAAGACTCATGCTTGACAGATTTCTTGTACAGAGATCGGAAAAATAGTAGAACATAGGAAAACCCCATGAATTTTGCTACTTAATGTATGATTTCTGTGGGAAGGATTGCTTGTATTGGGAAACTTACATAGTGGGAGTAGAATTGGTTATTTTGGCAAATATGGTGTCCTAGGTAGATTATTATAACTTTTATGAGTTTCTCTGTGATTGAGATAGATTTAAGGCTGGTTAAATGTACTTGTTATTACTGATAATTCACCGTTTCAATAAAGTTAATCTTGATACTAGATTATATGTTGTCTGGTAATGTTCATTATAAAATTATCTAAGATAAATTTATAAGCCGTTTTATATATAAATTATCTTTCTAAAAAAATGTTTTGACTTTATTCATCCTCATTTGCTGAAGATCGCATTTTAACTAGAAATAACTTGAAATTGATGAAATTCGCTGAAAAATTAATAATTATATTATATTATGTAGAATACAAGGTATGTACGTGATAGCTAAGATAATAACATTATATATACATTAATTTTAGATAAGTTTGCCTGCTCCTAATAAGATTACTTGCCATCCAATAGGCGTAGAAAATATAGCTTAGGTTGTACATAAAGTTCAGTGTTGTATCATGAAATAAAGATATAAGGGATTGTCTACAAAGAAATCATTTATCTTTTGTACAAGAAGGTCATAATCATTGTTGTCTTTTAAATTTCAAAATAGGTGATTGTAAGAGTGTTATTGAATAGACATAAAGTTCAAAAAAAAACTTCTTGACTTACTCTAAACCATTCAATTTGTCATCTAATAAGTAGGAATAGTTGTGACCTCCTTGTAATGCTTTTTTTTTTATGTTGGTTTGTTTCACCCTACCATAAAGTTCAAAAAAAAATGTCACACCAAGTTCAAAAAAAAAATATTTCGAACATACTTACTCTAAATCATTCAATTTGCCATCTAATTACTAGGAATCGTTGTGACCTCCTTGTAATATGCTTTTTCTTTTTTTTTTATTTTTATGTCGGCTTGTTTTACCCTACCATAAAGTTCTTTTATGTCAACCTAAGGATGGTCCTGTGTGATATCATGAGGGACTACTTTGAGCTTTTACGAGTACAACTTGAGGTATCAGTGGGCCCTTTAACAGTCATATCATTTCGAACCATTTACTAAATTTTATTTAAGGGAAAAATTATAGATTCCTTAGTGTCCTGATTTCATAGGTATGCCTTAGCTCCACAATACTTCTTAAACCACACTATTAACACCAAAGTAATTTTATTTTTCACCTATCACCCAAGTAAAAAAGTTAATATTTTGGAGCAAAATACCCCCATTTTTTAACTCAAGTTTTTCTCTTTTAAAGATCCCATGTGACCCCATACGCAATTTCTCTAACCCAAGTCTGATATACTTTGTACTAGATCGGCTTTTACTCCCCCAAAAGTTAGTCTAACCCACATAGTGCCATATCGAATCCTGGTGCCTCCAAGAGGCCCATCTAATACATTTTGTGACAGACCAGCTTAAAATCTCAAAGAAGTCGACCCGAGACTAAATTTACAAGACCAGGTTAAAGAGAGAAATTATGTGGGTCTTATAAGAGAGAAACTTATGTTAAAAAGTGGGGTATTTGATCTTAAAAAATTAACTTCTTTATTTGTAACGCATTAACTTTTTTACTTGTAAAGTGACTGCAAAGACAGAAACAATTTTGGTCTTCAATGATGTTGTTTAAGAAATTAACTTTTATTTTATAAGATGCAGTTAACATGCGGACAACCTGCATATTGTAGAAATACGGGCTTGACAATAACTATATTTTTTAAGTATAATTTGATCCTAATTTTAGAGTATATACAATGTTGTAGAAATGTGGTGCAGCCATAAAACAATTGTTCTATTTTATAAGGGGAGAAATAGTTTATGGTTTGTGGCTTTGTGCTGGACTACTTTTGCTGTGGTCCGCGCAATTCCCAACATTCTATTCCATTTTCACTAAAAGATGTCTATCTATGCTCAAACATGTTTAGAAGAAGCATTTCAATATTTTGAATGCTAACTAATAAAAGAATGAACTTTTGGCCATTTGGTTAGGACTTGAGAGCTAGGAATCAGGGTTCGAATCCTAGATATAATCTATCCTTGAAAGAAAACGAATACTGCTCCATGGGATTTATGATTTCCATTTGGAAAAGGAAAAGATTCTAGATATGAGATATTCAGTACCATGCTTGAGCTCTTCTTATTTTGTGGTTTGTATAAGGCCGATGCTCTAAACAATCAAAGTTAGATGCACTTTCAAATAGTCTCGAAAGATATTGTTTTAATATCGGAAATCTTTGTGATGGCCTGAAAATTTATTTTCAATCATAAAATTTAATACTTCAAAAATAATGTAGATCAAGTAGATCTATAAACACTTAAAAATTGACTGTCTGAAAATGC